CGGGGATGCAGTGACTCAGTGTGACCGCACGAGCAGCTGGTTTAGTGCCAGGAGAAATTCATAGATGACATCACGTGAATGTCGCAATAATTACGAAAAGCACTATGTGACTAATTGGATAATCAAGGCAAACAGGAGGAAATAAAATGAAAGTTTATTTTACCTCCGGGCAGGGGGGTTTCTAACCCCCCCCCCCTCCCCTCCTCAGGGGTTTTAAATAGATACGTATCTTTTTGCATACCCGGAGTGATAAGTTTTCTGCATTTTTGTTCAGGGACCCAGACTCTGTTTTTATTTTTCTTTCTTTTTGTTCACAGATGACTGATTGGCCTCTGTGGGCATTGGACAAAATCGTTACTTTTCAACAGACCGCAAAAATGATGCTTGTTTTACGTGGGACAGGAGTAGTGAACTAATCTCTTTTTGTCAATGGACGCTACAGCTTCGTGTTTGCTTTCAAAACTTAGCTTGTAGCAGACGTGCACATTTTCAGCATGACGTCTCTGATCCACTGGTAAAAGGACACTTTGATCCTCTCCTCTTTCATCTATAACTGCTTCAGACAACAAAGTGTATGCAGGAAAGTGGTGAAGATTGCACGACTGTCTGTGTCCTATGTGTTGTGTTGTGTTATTTTTGTTATTTTGACTTCAAGATGGCGCCGCGTGAGTGGCTGCCTTTCCAGCAGCTCCTATATTTTGTTGTTCAACTTCTTCCATTCATAACTTTGCTGCTGTGAATTGGGAATTTCTCCATTGCGAGACTAATAAAGGTTTTCTTATCTTATCTTATCTTATCTTATTTAATATGTCTTTAATAACTTACACAACCACTCATCCCGTTGAAATAGTTTCCTGCTTTTTTTCATTGTGGTATGCTTGTTTTATTGGGGACAAAGTAAACACTGATAGTCTTCGTTTCCGTTGTTCAGTTTTTACAAGAGTAATTTCAAATGTGAAGGTTTGGGAGATAATCCCAAGAACTGCCTCTTCACACATCAGCCCGCCTCTCTTCTTCTTTTGGAGTCGATGTCCGTTGGCAAACCTTTTCGCCAACAACTGGGCTGAAGTGCAGAGCGCAGGTTTGTCAGCAGAAAAAATATATAAGAATTGTTATAAAGAGGGAAAAAAAAGACAATTTGCTGATTGCACAAGGCGATGAAAAATTGCCTTGCAAAGTCTCAAATTTTACTTACAGGCTGTTGGGAAAACTACCGTGCAGCCTTGCTGCAGAAAGAAATGCACCTCGAGAGAAGGTTAAATACTGATAAACCCATTTATCAAAGTGACATGATAGACGGCACGCCGCCGATGACTCATCGGACTAGTCCAGTAATAGATTGACACTTCCCAAGAATGGAAAAAGATTTTTCAGCCTTTACATCTTATTCAAAGATGAGTCCCAAAATAAAACCGATAAAATTTACTCTGCTGTCAAAAACATCCTGAGGATCCAGGCATGTTTCCACTGGGGTCTTGTTGAAATCAGATTAGGAGATTAGGATCATTTATGCAGATTACTTTATAAACCAGATTTAGCAGGGGAGAAGGATTCTTCTGCAGGACCGTCGCAGCGAACGACTGCTGCCTGCAAGCAATCGTGAGTAGCATTTCCAAAATTATTCCTGGATGCTTTTCAATAATTTGTCTTGTCATGTAGAAACTTTTTGGTGTGGGTTTGTTTTTATTTTTCCTCCCCTTTTTAGATAATGCCAGTCATAAATGTCGAGGACTTGACAGACAAGGACAAGGCTCTGATGGAAGTCAACCAACTTAAAATTGAAGTGAAACTTCAAAGGTGGTTGGTACGTTTTTCTATTTTTAATGAACTAAATGAATAATTCCGTGCTCGCACGGCGTGGCGCGGCACGGCTTTTAGAATTTAAGGCCATAATAGCAATTGAGAGAGACAGACAGAGGAGTGGTTCAAGTCGAATAAATTGCTGGATCATATGGAATGATTTCTGCGACGTGTTCCCTTTTAGACATCGAAATGCTGCGAGGAGATCAAGGATTACATTCAGGCCGGAGTGGATGAGGACACTCTTGTCAAAGGCATTTCAGAGGAGAAGAACCCCTTCAAGGAGAAAGGTGGCTGTGTCCTTTGTTAGACTGAACATGAAGTGTTCTTAATATCTCCGATTAGCCACCAAGGGCATTTTTCCTGCCCTCCCAAGACAGATTTGCAGACTGAGAAGACTACAAGGGCATAACGAACAGAAGAATTGATGCAACTTTTTTTTTTTAATAATAAATTGCATTCTAGTCAGATCTGTACCCGATATCGTTTCCATTTCACTGAAATTATTTATATATAAGGTTATATTTAACGCTTCCTTCTCCTCTGTAAACAGAATAAATAATACGATGCCCATACAAAGTCACCTAATTAAATGTGCTTGTTTATAATTCCACCTGAGTCCCTTAATCATTTCTGAATGCAATAGTTTAGCAATATGAACTAAGGTAGAAAGGTATCGTCGGGGCTAGGGAAGTCAAATATTCCAAAATATACAAATAATATATTTTTTTAATAATAATAATAATAATAGTACAATTGGTGGTGTGCAAAGTACAGTTGATGCCTGGGATGACCACACGTAAATGACATCCTGAAAAAAAATACAGGGTATTGATCATTTGGGGGTGGGTGGTGCGAATGGAGATTTGCATGGAAGATTTTGCCATTATCTATGGGACACCACTGCCAATGGTTTGATTTTATGACAATTCTGAAACGATCATGACTTGGGAGGCGGGGGACGGGGCATCTGGAAGATTTTTATGGTTGATATTATCCAGTGCATTGTGTGGCAAAGATATTTTGCTGCCCCTTGGATTTTTTTCATCAATGGGGGTGAGGGGTGCGCCCCGTAAATCCTCTCTTTTGCACGCACGTCCCTGAATAGAGTGAAACTATCTGTCCTATCACAATGGAAATCAGTGTATCTCACAATTTGCATGGTGGTCACACCACTCATTATTCGTATTTTTATTAGTAGTAGTAAAATTTATATGATTGTTATTTATTGTGAGCGGTATATTTCTTTTTCTTTTTCCATCTTTTTTATTTCATTTTATATCGTATGTCCTTCAAAAGTACAGAACCTGTGCCGTGATTTGCTTCTGCGCATGCGCATCATCACCCAAACAGCAATGGCGCTCCACTGCGGCGCTGTGCGTTTAAATGCACTTATTCGCACCCGTCCTTTCTTCAAATGTGCTTCGTTTGGCCTCCGCTCGTTTGCTGACCACGCGTCGTCCCCAAAGGTAGCAAGCAACGCCCCAGAGACCTCGGGTGACCATGTACTCTACACGCCAGAGCACTTTGCGTTAAAGGACTCGCTCAAAAAGGTACGAGTGGCTGCTAACGAAAATTAGCAAGCTTTAAGAGTCATGAAAAAAAAAATGTTAATGTTGTTCGTGTGACGCTTTACGCCCGTTTGGTTCACGACGATGTAGCGTTCAAGGTTGTTGCAAACAGCTACAGCGAATCAAAAGTGGGTGAGAGGTTAATATGCAGTCAGTTGATGAATACACACTAGCCGGACACATTTGTAGGTACACTTGCAACATCTGTACCAGCGCTCTTGCGAATATTCAGCCAGAATTAAGCATTCATGTTTTTTTGCTCGTGTTGTATTGAGCGCGTGGGAGTCCGGGTTTTGTGACGCTGCACATCAGATGTTGTAGAGAGATACGCACATTATTTCATAACTTTTTTTTGTTTTGTTTTGCAAGACTGAGAAGGTGTGGAAAATATTGGCTGAATTCTGTTGTAAGAGATCATGTTGCGGATGTGAGGCTTCGGTTTGTTTTACTTTTGGGCGATATCCTTCTTTTTCCACTTAGCATTGACATTCATTCAATTGGTTATTTGGACTACAACAAAGTTTTAACAAAGTATGAAAATATGTCCTCAAATACAATAAAAGCATAAGTGAAATAAAACATTGAACCTGGCCCGTGTTACAAAAAAAAAGGTGCTGAGAAATTAGTGACGTCATCGATAAATAAACTTCGACTCGACTTTCATCACGTTGTCATAGTTGGGGCTGCAAATGTATTTTTTTCCTTACAATTTTCCTCACTCGTATTCTGGTTAAATATTTTGTTATTTAAAAAACCCAGAATGCCTTAGTAATCAGTTTGTCTATTTTAAAAAGCAGACAGATATTTGTAGGTACAATGTGCAAAAATAACAACAGCAGCCAAATTTAGGCCAGACAGTACAAGACGTTGCAGTAAAGGGAGGGAAGCGTTCTATGTGACTAAACCTTCAAAGGATACCCGGAGTTTGAAAATAAACTAGCCCGGGGAATATGGGAAGGATGAAAATGTAAAAGGGAAATACAGAACAATATACTGTTAGGGCGGGAAACGGAACTTGAGGCAGCGTGGTTTAATAAAAGAATCCTCTGTAGAATAACGGAAATTGGTACTGGATATAAATTGAGTCATAGGAAATCCCTCGGTGAGTATTTTTTTTTTTTTTTTTTGCTCTTGTCGTCCAGCGACTATGGTTGCGACATTGTGGTTGAAAACGTGCGGTGAATGATTGTAATTTCACCATGTTCTTTATAGTTAGTTGCTCTTGATGTGAAGAAATGCATCGAAATTCCCAACTAATTTGGAGTTGCCTCGTTTCGGAAGGCTGCACTTTTAAGTTAGCATAACAATTTCCGCAGAGAAGGTCACGGCTGTGTTTAGTGTCTGGCTTACACCCCGCATAGTGAGCTTGCCGCAGGACCGGATAATGCGGTGTTCTTGACCCCCGTCTTAGCGCACGAATCCGCTGATGTGAAAGCGTCCTGGTATGTAACACAAATAGTCCACAATAACCTTTGTGAAACCATGCAGCATCCCTCCCCAACGTGCCGCATGTTTCCCGTTCCAGCGCGCGGTTTTTGTCCCTCCCTTTCCCTCCTCAGGATCTGAACTTTGAACACGGATGACTTCAACCTTGGAATAATGGCAGCCACTGCTTGTTTTACTGTTTGCTCTCACGAGCGTAAAAGCGAGGTTTGTTGGGGCCCTTTCAAGGTTGCGCTTTCGCTTGCGAGCGCAGACTCATCTCAACGGCTTAATAAAGGAACAATAAAGGAGGGCGTATAGTCCATAAGCCTTCATAATGAGGACACCTCATTCACTTCGTGTTATTGGTTGAGGCTTATTCGATGATTGCAATCATCGCTGTTCTCTCTTTTTTCTTTTTTTTTTTTGGAGCAGCGTAGGTTCTACTTTGGGTTCCGAGTAGCCACAAAAATAGCGCACTCGGGAAACCTGACAATAGGTTGGTCATTTCTAAGCACTTCTCCAGTCACTTCCCGATTCTCAAGGTGAGTCATGTTGCCAAAATTTACCCGCTCAAAAGATCATTTCAAAAATTGTCGACCTGCTCTTCACTCTTTTTGGACTTTGGCTCTCGACTCGTAGAAATTGCGGCTCTGATAAAGCCGAGATGAATCACGACGCCACTTTGCCTCTGAAGAGTGATTGCTCTCCAGGTTGACGAATACGATGCCAAATTCAGTTGGATTGATTACTCGACTCCATCGTTTCATTTTCCTTTGTGAGTCACTCGTTTGACCGCATTGTTATGCAAGCGAACGCCAGGCTGTTAGGTTTGGCCTTTTGCGTGTTGACCTGCGGATGACAAAACGCAGCACTTCCTCCCACCTTCTACTCGAGACCGTAAACAGCCGAAGGACGAGGATTGACCAAAAATTGTTGAGTTGAAATGTTTTTTACAGGCGCGCGTTTCATTGACGTGAGGATTTTAAGCTGTTCGTCAGCTAGCGCCAGCCGACCCGTTGCCTTCTGCGAGGCATCCGCGTCGTTAATGCCAAAACACGTACTTGGCGATTAGCCGACTTAGAGAACAGCTTCTGCAGAATGCTCATTGAAAGGCTACTGCCCTTGCGTCTGAAGTTAGCTGGGTTAGGATCCAGTTTGCTTCGTAAGAATCGACAATTAGTCACTGATTCTACACTGACTTGTTAAATATTCTGCCCATCCCTCTTTGCTCAAGGAATTTTGTCAACATGTGGTTTGTGGTCTGCCCTCCAGGGGATGGATATTCTCCTCATTCGATCTTCAAGCATGCACTCTTTTACTGTTGTTGTTGTTCCTGTCGCCAAAGCAAGAGGCCTTCTTGCTTGGTTTTCTTTTGTTTCGTTTTGTTTTTGGAAAGACATTTTTGAACACTTCAGTACTTTTGTTGAAACATTTTTGAGTACGCCCATGTCTTTTTCTAGCATGACTGTGCCTCATTGTACCAGGCAGTGTTCAAAATACCCAGAGCCCCGACCGCAACCTACGCAAACATATTTAGGGCGCCGGTGTCAAACTCAAGGCCCGGGGGCCAAACCTCGCCCGCCACATAATTTTATATGGCCCGCAAAAGCCAATCAAGCATGTCAACTTCCATGATGCTTCCTAAAATCTGTGCCAAAATGTAAAAATGATCCCATCTAATAAATGAGAGCAGTTGTCAGCATTTTCGTGTGACCAAAGCCCTCATTACAATCACTTGAAATAGCTGAAGAAACGATGATTCTTGACTTCTTAATATGGTTTAACAGTCATAACGGCCCTCCAAGGGAAATGGCAAGTACAATGTGGCCCGCCACAAAAAAATGAGTTTGACGCCCCTGATTTAGGGCAATGATGGTTGAACCCCCCCCCCCCCCCACATCATCAGTCTTGCAATAGTCTTCCTTTGTCTTGTTTACCACGCATGCATCTGTCTGAACGCCTTACCGACATGATCGCTCTTGTTCTATTTTTAGCACCTATTTTACCCCTCAGTGTTCTGGATTGGGATTTGGGCCAAATCACACATCTGCTTTTGCGATACGTGTTTGTTTGTGACCAGTCAAGCCTGTAAAAAAAAAAAAGTATACCCGGCGGGGGAATACCCATATAGGCTCACCCTGTATTCATCACCAGCAGCGTTATAGATTCACCGCGTAATGCATTTTCCCGAGCTGCTCCCTATTCATTGATAGTTAATGCATTTTTTTTTTTTTTGTGGCGGCCTGCTAGAGATAGATTGCAGAGATCTTAGGGGGAGATGTGTCCGCCACGCAGCAGGAAAACGTATGTATGTGTGTATGTGATGCCGTTGTCAGTCCCCCCCGCCTTGTAATGGAGATTCTTTGGGGTTGGGCGAAGAAGGTGGCAATTGGAAAGCATATCATGCACGTGCACGTACGGTGGCGATATCTCACACGCACACTGAATATTCACGCGAGTACATCTGTTTCCCATTAGATCATCGACCAGGAGATCAACCCGTACGTGGATCAGTGGGAAGCGGAGGGAAAGTTCCCGGCGCATAAAATCTTCAAGATCCTCGGAAATGCCGGTTTTCTTGGAGTCAACAAGCCAGTCGGTGAGATGTGCATCTCGGTCAAACTCTCAGATGATCACATTTAAAAAGCTCACCAAATTATTCCCGATATAGCGCTTATTTTGTTTGCTGTCAAGAGATCCGGAAAGGCGTTAGCGGTCCACCCATGTCTCCGTGACACATTTGAGCAAGTTAACGCTCGGAACCTTGTTTGGACATGTTCCTCGGCAAACTGCAACATACATTTGAACCGGTCCAGCTGGAAACGAATGCGGTCCGCCGTCGCGAGTGCATGGTTCCGCAATAGCGCCGAGACGTTGTCTGACACATTTAATTCGGTCGGAATCTTCTTCTTCTTCTTCTCCTTTCGGCACGTCCCTATTCAGGGGTCGCCACAGCGAGTCAGTAATTTCCATCCGCCCCTGTAAACCGTCCTACCAACTCGCATGGTCGTCTTGGCAAAAGTTTTACGCCGGATGCCATTCCTGACGCAACCCTCCCCGAATGATTAAAAAAAAAAAAAAAAAAACGATGTAGTGCGAATGAGTGAGAGTGATTACTCATTGGTGCCTCAATCCCAGTGACGTATGCTGCCTGTATCATTCCCATGATTAATGTGCAGCATATCAAAGAATCGAAAAGGAGCCAACATGAATAACACACAAATATATTTTTTAATCAAAAATATGTTCGAAAATGATAACTCGGTATTTTATCAGAACTGGACCACAAAAAAAAAACATTTTGCTTTAGTTGAGCAGCTCCCTGGTGCTTTTATTATTATTTTTTTCTTTGTGACTATGAAGCATTGTGATGCTTTGAAGCGTCACACAAACGTCCTGCAACAGCTGTTGGCTAACATCGAAACCAGATGTGCACCCAGATGTGTTGCTGATGGAGTCGCCAAGGATTTCTCTCAGATGCTGAAAGTCAAGCGCTCATGCAACTGTTATTCTGCAATAAAAACGTTTCGTGTTTTCGCCATCTGTGCAATTTCGGACAATTGCTCAACATTTTCTCCATTTCAGCCAGCGAATCCCGATTTTTCTTTTCTTTTGCTTCTAAGTCTCGTCTTACTCCGAGCTCCAACGCATTACCCTGCGATGTCACTTTTTTGTTTTTGCAGCCCTTCTCTGGGGCATTGCAAAGTTTTGTTTTACTGTCACCACATAAATTAATTGCTTTACTTCATGGCATAAACAATTCACCCACTTAAAGTCTGGAGAAGATTTCACCAGGAGTGTGTGGGTCAGGGAAGAGGGCGGGCGAGGGAATTCAAATGTGCTGAGTCCACACACCCTGAGCATTAGTTGACAGGATTAGAGAGCGATGGCCTGGGAGACGACTGTGCAAAGACTCAATACAATTATCAGGTCCCAAAGAGTCTTTGCAGCGATGCATCGCACAACCAACTTCTCCACATCTTTTATGTAGTTGCCACGGGAGCAAAGAACCGATGACGTCTTCATTTGCAAATTCACCCGGAAAAACGATGGCTTGACGTTATACACTCGATGGAAAATTTTGAAGCCTCCTCTTCTCCTTTTACTGTGACTTTAAGAAACAACCGCCGGCGTGTTGACTTGACCTACATTTCACACAATCTAATTTCAACGACAGACAAAGTCTCTCTTGAGCAGACATGCCCGGTTACTCCCCACCCCAAAAAAATCTCCTCTGGGTGCACCGATGTCTCAGTTTGGCATAGATGAATCTGAGTTTACCCTGTTTGCGATCGTTTTTGCGCCGAGCCTTAAGCAGATGATTCCAAATTAGAAACGAAATAAGCTTAAATCAACCCGATGAACGTACGTGTAACGATGTCCTCGGATTTGGGCGTCGATGACTTTTTGCAGCCGTGATTTGCGTGTGCACGGAAAGTCCACATTACCTGTCAAAACATTGGGAACAGGAAGTTTTCCTTAGACAGCCGCATCAGGGGGGGAGAGAGGACAGCGATGACCCCTGGCGCCCTGCCTGGCTTCCTCTATCCTGACAGGGAAGAACTCGTCTTTCACACCATGGCAACGGCAACCTCGTTGACAGACAGGAACTGGCAGCCAAAATTGTTTCCCATCCGTTTCGCCAAAGAGGCTTGTATGATTCCTGCTTTAGTAATAGTCTGACGAATGCATTTCATCGTTTGGTTTTCCCCACGCGCGTTACTGACGCTGTCCTGTTGCACATGCGATATGAATGTGATTGTGACGCATGCAATTAGAGCAACATTATCCATTACTGCTGTAAATATACAGTGGTACCTCTACTTACGAAATTAATTGGGTCTGGAAGAAATTTCTTAACTAGAAGATGTTGTAAGTAGAGACGCGTTTTCCATGTAAATGGCCTAATCCGTTCCAAGCCCCCCAAAATTCAGACATAAATGTTTTCTAAAGCATAAAAATGCATCAAAATACGGATCAAATGCCGGTTACTAATTGAATTATTGCGCAATAAATGAGAGCTGTGCATAATGCAAAAAACAAAGAATAGAGTAAAGAATAAAAATTTCACTTTTAACCGCGTCATCGTTTATTTGCCTTCTTTAGTTCATTTTGTTGAAAATCCGAGAGCAGATGAGGGCCGCCGCGAACATCTGCCGCTCAGGAGAAGCTCGAGGCTATCGGATTGGCATTTGAGTTTTGAAGCCTACTTGTTTGTTTATCTTTTGCTTGTTTGTTCAACTCGGCCGCCCGCTGTTGCGCTTGAAGCGGGATAAACCTCGGCGCTTCCTTCTGTCCACATGATCCACTGCAGGGTTTCCAGCGTGCACTATCGCGCTCCAGCCGCACCTGTTTCCTCTTAGTTTTGGCGATCCCTCTTCCTACCCCCCCCCCCCCCCCCCCACACACACACACACACACACACACACACACACTTGAGTGTTTGCTTGGCCTACTCTCGCTCGCTTGTATGTAATTTTCCCTCTTGTCTCATTATCTCTCTTCTATCGCTGACGATGCTTTCCATTATTCCATAACTAGTCAGGTGGGTGGTACAAATGCAAGGGTTGCAGAATTGTGTGCTAAATTTGCCCCTAATTGTTGCATTGTCAACTGCTACACAGTTTTAGTTCACGTTATTCAAGTCAATTAAAGACCCGAGGGCATTGTGGGTCAGAAATCTGCAGGACATTTTGAATTTGTCTCCGTGTCTTCAAACTAGTCCAAACTGCAGATAGCTGTGAGTCTTATGCTTATCTTCCCAACACTGATTTTTACTCGTCGTGAGTTCCACCGAAATGATTGCTGAAAGCTAATGTTTCATATTGTTGTTTTGTTTTTGTTTATAGAGTATGGAGGCATGGGACTGGACTACAGCTACAGCGTGGCAGTGTCCGAGGAGCTGGGTCACATCCGCTGCGGAGGCATCCCCATGGCGATCGGCGTTCAGACCGACATGGCAACGCCCGCGTTGGCCAGGTAACAATTCCGTCAACCTGAATTGCACGTCCGCCCACGGCTTTGGCATCGTCTTTGTCAGGAGATGCAGATTTAGCCTTGGAGGCTGCAACGCTGGTCCCTTTTACTGCGAGGATAACAATACCCACTATGTCATCTTTATTTTATTTTATTTTCCTCACAACTCTGAGTAGTAGCCTAAACATACACATACGGCTGTGTTTTAAGCAACAAGTAACCCCTGTATCACTGCAACGGGAGCAAACGCTGTCGAGATAAAAATGTATGAATAACCATACCGTAAAATGTAGCCGTGAGAGAGTTGTGACTAACGCAGATTAATGTGGCTAAGTCACACACAAACACCACATTCTCAAATAAAAGTCCTTTGCGTGTACAAGAGCTTCTGTCATCCGAGAGCTAAGAAACAAATCGTACCACGGTATAAGGTCACATCATTGAATTTCGCACTCGGCTTTGTCGTACTTTGATTAAATCACCCTCGACTGGTCCACGGTGTGCTGTGTATGTCTGAGCGAAATGTGTCCGTCTTGTTTCCTTTTGCAGTCAAGTGACTTCTGGTGACACGCGACAAAGCTCATAGCAACAGACGAGTGTCGTCTCATGAGTTTCATTAGGGGAACAATTCTTGCCCGAAATGAGTATTTGCAAAAATTAATGCAACTATAATTGCCTTTAAGCGTGGCAGGATTGTCTTCAAACTTTTTTTTTTTTTAAATTAAATCCTAAAAGTCAATTTTGTTGACTTCATAAGCCAAACTAGAAACTTGTCAATTGTGTGTGCTTGAGCAGGTTTGGTTCAGCCGAGCTCAAGAAAGAGTTTCTGCTTCCGAGCATCCTGGGGGACAAAGTTGCCTGCCTCGGAGTTAGTGAAGTCGGAGCAGGTTCTGACGTATCCAGTAAGTTCCTGTCTTTCCATCTCAAAAAGTTGGCCACCTTTGACCATCTTGGGTTTTTACACCCTACCTCGCATCGATCCAGACATTAAGACGAAGGCAGTGAGAAAAGGAGATGACTATGTGATCAATGGCGGCAAGATGTGGACCACCAACGGCACCCAGGCGGACTGGATGTGTCTCCTCGCCAACACCAGTGACGGACCCCCGCACAGGAACAAATCCCTCATTTGTTTGCCCATGAACCTGCCAGGTAGGATCAGCGCGTGACGCCCGGCGCTATCAAAAACAAGTTGTCATCGATGTGGGTCTGGTTCTCGTCTATGCTCGCCTCCCCCATATTAGGAGTGCACATCGCCCGGAAGATCGACAAGCTGGGCATGTGGTCGTCGGACACAGCCGAAGTGTTTTTCGAGGACGTGCGAGTTCCCTGCAAGAACGTCATTGGCCAGGAAGGAATGGGCTTCACCTATCAGATGCTCCAGTTCCAAGAAGAGAGGCTCTGGGCTGTGGCCAATAGTAGGAGAGCTTTTCCTCATTTGTCCTTTTGCGCTTTCACGGCCTCCGTTTCCCACATCCGTTACTGTCAGCGGTACATTTTTATGTCGATTCCCTTTGCGCTGCCAAGCAAATCAACAAGGAGGTTGAGTTCACTTCGGGTCAAGCCATCAATCTCGTGTGAGGGGGGGTTGAGGGTTGTTTGTGTTTAATTTTGACAAGCGTCAGATAATGTTTTCTGAACAAGTTGGCAAAAGTGAAACGCTCCATGGTGGAATTTTTTAATTTAGCCGTGTTTATTGAAAGTGTCGTGCGCGTGTTGTAGGAGTGATTTAGAACAGCGCCGTGTCATGCGAAGAGGTGTTTGTGACATTTTGCAACTTCACTTAGCTACAACTGAGCTCCCCCAACCCCCACCCATGGAGAATTTTTGGCCGTCGTTAATTTTTAATGTCTTAACTAATCATAAAGGAAACTAGTCCAAAAGCAGCACATCTCTCGCATATTTCAGATCTCTCCCCTCATGTCTCTACTTCGAACACCTCTAGTCGTGACTACAATGGACGTCGTCATTAGGGAGACCATCCACTACACTCGACAGAGGAAGATCTTCAGTCATCCGGTCCTCTACCACCAGGCGGTCCATTTTAGGCTGGCCGAGCTGCAGACGGAGGTGGAGCTGCTGCGCGCCCTCCTTTACCAGGCCACAGGTAAACTCGAATGATCGTGCAAATCCCAATCCCAAATATGGAAGGAAACAACAAAATCTCTCGCTTTGTGGCGCGGGTCCAGCCTTGTATATCAAAGGCAATGATGTCACCAAGATGGCATCCATGGCCAAATTAAAGGCGGGGCGTCTGGCCAGGGAAGTGGGTGACGGCTGCCTCCAGTACTGGGGAGGAATGGGCTTCACCAGTGATGTGCTGGTCAGCAGATTCTACAGGTACGTGCGTTTAATTATATGAAGAAATGTTAGGTTGTGGCCTTACGACGAAAATACCGCTACAATAGCTGAGGCCAAAATGTGAGTCTCAATAACTGTATTGGGTCCTTTTATGACACTGTACTGACATCTAGTGACATGTGGCACAAATGTAGTTTGAAGCGGGCGCGCCCCGGTACACGGTCAAGAAAAAAAATCAAACCTAACATCCTTTTTACTAACTTTGCCCTATCCACAGAGATTCCAGGTTATTGTCCATCGGCGGAGGGGCAGATGAGGTCATGCTCGGAATCATCTGCAAATACATGGACATTCTACCCAAGAAGTGATTTCGTCAATGATTTTCTCTTCGGTTCGCTTGATAACGGCAACTTCTCAGACTAATTTTGACATCCAACAAAGCTAATCAATCACCCAAGTGCTGCTATTTATCAATCATCTGAAGTCAGGTGGCTTTGGCTGAATGAGGTTTGAAGAAAATGCTTGTATTTAAAACTCATTCACTACCAGCCAATTCTAGACGCCTTTAAAAAATTTTTTTTTTTTTACCCTAAATCTTGGAAAAATTGAAAAAAAAAGTATCTGGGGTTGAACATGTGCAGTGTTAAAAGACAAATATGTCTGTGGGAGTGAATGAGTTAAGGTGCTATGTGAATAATTCAGTGAATGTTTTATTAAGGCATCCAATTTGCATTGTTAATATTTATTCATTACCAGGCTTTTTTTTTTTGAAGGTGAAATCTGTTTTGTCAGTTCATTCAAAAAAAAAAAGTGCACAAAGTCTAATTAAAGGACATACCTGATAAATGTTTATTGGTTAAAAATATCATAAAATATTTACATTGCACATCTAACATTGCTGTAGCCCCCCCCCCGGATATTGTACACCCATATATATACGCATTAATTGCTGTATTGCAGATAATCGAAATGTCTCTCGGAGAGCATTGTATAACTTAGTTGCTCTCAGTGTGAAGCACAATAAACAGATAAGAGCATACACAGAGCACTCGTTTCTCCATGTGTCAACTATGGCATTGCTCAAGCTATCTTCTATGTCACAATGCTAAATCTCATCACATCAGCCTCTACACACACACACACACATCTAATCTCACAACAGCGGCGTATATTGAGGGTGTAAAATACACAGGATAATACAACCGTTTGGCTTCATGAATCATCTGACCTTTTTTTTTTTCTTTTTTTAATGAACTTGAGTTATCCCGAGGTGCGGGTGTGTGTTCAAAGTCCGGCGAGATCCAGCTGTCACCTCAACTTAATGAACCAGTAGAGTACAAAGAAGACAAAAAGGCAGAAGAGCAGCATGTAACACAGCAGTTTGGTCTGACTGCCTCTGGACAGCTGTTTGACTCTGCCGATGGTGGCGCCCAGCAGGCCGCCCGTTGAGTCAAAGTCCGTGTCCTAGTTGGGGACAAAAGACATCCTCAATCTAAAGTAGTCACTTCACGATGACAAGAGTGGGTGAGAGTGACTTTCAACCAGCAAAACTTACTGCGAATTTGGCCATTTCATATTTTCTTATTATAAAAATCAGCTGTTTAAAGGCGACATACTTTTTCAGCAATTGAAAAAGTTCCCAGTTGTCTGTGACATCCTTTCATCGTACGCAAGAATTTCAGTTGTATTTTGCTCAAATCTGCCTGTTATGAAGGGAGCTGCCCTTTCTCAAAAGGGAGTGTGAACAACTAGAGTTAAACGGCGTACTGTACCGGTAATACCTCACGGTCAAAAATTACCACTGTTTGTTTCTGTTCTGCTCGACAGAGAGCAAACCCTTCTCCGAAAACAGGTTTAAGTGTACTTGGACGAATAAACAGCTTGAAGCTGTTTCGTAGTTACTCCTGCACAACATGTACAGTATTTGTATGTGGAATGTCAGGACGAGTACGCTGCAGATATTATTTGTGCTTGCCTGACATTGAAAAGGCTGAAAAATTCAGAGGACGCTTTATCAACTCCAAAGGTTTTCTTGAAATTTTTTTCACAGGCCAACTATTTCGTGCACTTCATGGATGTTGACTCAATGCATACTCTTCACATAGCAGTTGACTCTGCGCTTCTTCACTTTAATTGTTCCGCTGATAACGCTAATCTGTGATTCCAGCACTGCGGCTCTGTTTAGCTTTTGGTGTTGACGCGACAGTTTTTTCCCCATGTAGTCTAGCAATCGCTCTAAAATGTAGATAAAAAGTTGGCGCTCACATAGTCCATTTTGGAATCGAGCAGCTCAAAAAAATATTTAGTTGGTTGTTTAATTTCACACCTGGGCAGGGATTCCGGAGACATACATACTCTACGCATTGCTTTCGTGATTACAGGATGTAGATTTCAACCAGTTGACAAATCAGACGTGCTTTTATTTTGAATAATCAACTCACCATGTCGTCCAGCATTTTATTCTGGTACTTCACTTCCGTTCCTATGTCGATAGACAGCTGAAGACAAACGTGAGAGTAATGTAAGTCAGCGTGATAAGTAAATATTTCAAAGACACAGTAGGGACTTGTTAGAAACGGCGAGTTTGAACTTTCTTACACTTTTCAAAGCGCTGACTTTGGCTCGCAGTCCCTCCTGTAGATGTTCATTTTCCTCTTCGTACACACTGTATCCACTTGCCACATAGTTTCCAGATGCTCCATCACCTTGATGACATTAAATCACGAGTACGTGTTTATTTGGTTGACGTTCAATCACAAACACGCTGGGAAACGGACTCAATTATACAAACGCGGGGCACTAGAAAGCTATTTTCACCTAATTAGCAAGGCACCTGCTAGCTAACCGAAACAGAAATCGGCATGTATTGCATTCTGCACATGCTTTCGGTTAGCTAGTGCGGAATGCGCCAAAAACGTCGCTTTTCTCTTACCCAAGCCGGCGCGCCTCATTGTGAAACACGGACGTTAACGCTGTCAGTTTTTGTGTGAGTAGTGTTTCAGGGTCATGAAAATCACACCACAAACGAATATTGTGAAGTGTTGTCAGTCTGTCTGTTGCTTCCTTTCTTTTCAGGTCAGCAGACGCCACGTCATCCTCATCGAACGGAAGACGAGGAGGACCAAAAAGTTCGCGCTTTCTGAAGCGATTTAGAATTACCAGCCTAAAGAGCAGGGGTAACCACATTTTAGTTGTTGTTTTCCTTTTTTTTTTCACTTTATCTAATGTACGTTATACTTCACAAAGGTAGAAAGCGAATTGATTTCTCATTTTGTATATCACAAAAACCTGGCATTTGAAAGAGGGTGTGTACATTTTTTTTTAATCTATTAAATGTGATTCTTGGGATGAAATCGCCATTTTGCTGCTTTTGGCCATCATTGACACTGTTAACTTGGAACATTCTGAAACGTGACCACCATAAATTCGGCTCAGATATGAAATGTCATTGATAAAAAGAAAACATCTCAGTCTTAATTTATCATAACGTTTCTCAAATATCGGCTATCCATCCATCCATGCATGACCTTGACACAAGTGTCAAAGAAGGGCAAGTAAGTATTGATTAAATTGTGAGCCTGAATCTGACTTCCCTTTGTGTATCTGCGAGGATTAAATTCAACAGATGGTTCTTCAGTGTGGGAAAGGACATTTGGATCAAATCCTTGTAGAATCTCACTAGATGCAGAGCATCCCCTCAACAAGTGATCAACAGTCTTGTAGGTTGTCATATGGCAAGAAAACAATTGCACCCCTTTACGTAGAGCGCTACATTGCCATTACGTCTTATAAAATAAATACCCAATCAGCAAAATAACTATCACGAAATAAAACTAACCTTTCAACACACTATTATGTTTCTATCATCCCGTTGTTGACACAAGTTGATCCATAGAACAGAGAACATGATTTACCATATATACAGTCAAGCATACAGTACAATATTCTATATAGTAATCATAATACAAAAAAACAACCTTCATAAGCCGTGTCCTTCATGATGCTTTGAAAACTACTGTCGAGGTGCAAAGCATATAAAACATATTGAATTAAAAGATTTTATTGTATAACAGGGTGTAAGAGTTTTGACATGTCGAGTGCAACCAGACCATGAAATGGAATTTTAAATTGAATTCGAGCGAGGCTATTGTTGTTGAAGCAGAACAGGGCTGGAGAAGGCGACGAGCACTATGTGACCTGTGTAGGGTTTTTGCATTAGACATTGCTTTTATCCATCCATCCGCCCATTTTCTGTATTGTTTGTGCTCCCTAGGGTCATCGGTGAGCTGGAGCCTTTATCCAAACTGACTGCGGGTTAGAAGAAGGGTACACTCAGAACTGATTATCAATGCTCCTCTGATCAGACCTCATTGCAGGTTAGGCGCCTTCATCCCTTTATTTGTAAAGCAACACACTGAGATGCATCGGGACTATTCAACTGAATCTTTGCCATTTGCATCTCTGAGCAACCAAATTAATAAATGCATGATAAAATGAAACGTAAAAAAGGCAAAATCTTTGATGTGATTGTATATGTAACAATAAATAACATTTAAAATATTTATATGATACCTTGAACACCGGAAAAATAGCATTTGTTGTCCGTCTAATTCCTAAAATTAGACTCCTTGTGCCAAGTATATTTCTGAGAAATATTTACACTTGTTTTTTTGGGGGGTGTTATTTATTTCCTTTTTTAAAATTTTCATCACTGTAATCTGCTCAGTGTCAACTTGCTGTTATCATACAGGCCATGTGGCTGTGTTTCATGTATTGCTAATTCTATGCTTACAAACCTCACTTCTGTTACTTTCGGTCCTGTTTCTCAAATGAGAAGAGTCAGTACAATAAAACAATGACGTGAAAATATTACGTTTGCTGACATGGGCCGCTACACATTTTGAGTAGACAGAAATTTATTTTTTGTGTTAGAACAACCAAATGGCAGCGATTCTGTGGAATGGCTAATCGATTTATCACGATCACTTAGCCTAATTCTTCTCACAAATGACTCAACACACACCACACCACAGGATAATCACACATAATAATCTGTTAGAGGCATGCGATTAGTGGGTCCTTGCTGACTTTGATCAGAATCGGATGCAAAATGCTCTAATTCTCTCATTATCTCTTCATGTGAGGAAAAAAAGAAGATCCCCCTCCCCATACTATTGCTTCAAGTGATTTTGGCACATCCATGTCTTCAATTCATGGCGAAGAGGGATGAAGAACAAGGTGGACTAATAATCCAATGTCAAGAAAAAGATGGTGTTCAGAAATGGCCGTGATCCAGGTCACGTCATTGTTAATAACAATCTTAAACTCATGCATTATGCATGAGGTTCTCCCCAGCCCGTAAAGGATGGCTGCCATCTGGCAAGACAGAACCGTAATTAGCTGAAAATGAGAAGCGTTCACCTCTCGCTGCATACGACTGCAGATTTAGCCGCCTAATTTCTCCAGAGGATGGAGCAACGAATGAGTCAGGAGGAGAGGTGGAAGGGAAACTAGCCGCGAGGAAAGATCAAAAAGATGTGATTGCGCTTCTTACAAGCCGTCTCGGGAGAGAGGATTTTTGATTCCCGCTCTTAACGCTGCTTTGAAGCACCGTTAAAAGTACTCCGCTGACACTTTAAGTCAAAGCTGCGAAATTCTCTTGACTTGTAAATTGTCCTGAAACGAGGATTCGGATATTGAATTGGGACACCGTGTGGTTCTCTGCGGCCTATCATTCATTCATAAATGGGATTTATGAGATGCGAAAGGAGAATGAAATTGTGCTATTTGGGTGAGTCACAGGGTAGCGGAATATCTGCTACGACTGTGATCAGTATCGCAATACTGAACCTTGTGTGTGCAGACCAGCCATCTAGTAGGAGTGATAAGAATATGCGATTGAGAAACACAAAAGGAGAAAAGAAAAAAAGCTTTTCATTGGCTTAAATGAGAGAGAGAGAAACACGTCCATTTAAATGATCGCCTTTATGTTCGGTGTTGCTGAACCCCCCTCGGAGTATCCGTGTCACTCCTCGTGAGCGAGATTATAACTCAAAGTAAAATAAGACGTCGCCTCACCGGCACCATGTTGTTATTCACTCCCATCATCGGCGCACGAGCGTTTTCGTGGGCGAGCGTGTGTCTCCATTCTCAGTGTGTCCTTCAGTCCTATGAAGTGCTTGCAAAATTCTCCACGTTCGCGTGCTCGGTTTGAACTTTGATTCACCGTTGGATGCAAACAGGGGAGTCCCAAGACAAAGATTTAAAACGTCATTGATGGGGTCGCACTTGTGCCTAGCAAGAATCCATGACATTTTGATGAGGATCGGATTAATGATGCACTTTTGTTGTAATCCACAAAAGCATTGGGCCCCAATGGGGCTGTAACTGCATTGCAATTTGTCTTAAGTGGACTAAACGCTACTCTCTTTTCTACTGCGTGTTAGACTGGGACTGACAGAAAAAAATCATTAAAACAACGGGTTACTTTTCTTTTATAAATGACGCACACGCTTGGGGCCCGGGCTCTCAAACGAAATAATTAGTTACTATCAGGGGGTTGAGACAGTCTTATAATAGTGACTAATTGATGAGCTCAGGGAATAGCAGCGCAATCATGTCAGTCATTGCAAAGAAAATAACTGTCATTGTTGCAAATCAAATACACTTGATCAAAACCTTGAACAAAATCACGCTACTGCCATTCTGTTTACCCATCCTGACATTTTTTTTTAGAGCGATTGTCTTGAAGCCGACCAAGCTGACTGTCGACGGGAAGTTGGGCACACCCTGGAGGAATCGAGATTCAAACCCAGAACCTTGATACGGTGAGGCCATCCACGAGGCTTCCGTCAATTGGGGGAGTAGGTGCTGCCCCCTGCAGGGATGGATCATAAATGCCAAGGTTCGTGATGACAATACAATCCAATACAATACAATACATCCTGATTTATATCGCGCTTTCACAACAGCTGCAGCTGTAACAAAGCGCTTAACAAAACAGTTAACATAAAGTAAAATAATAAAACACAACACATCGCCTAAAACACGGACAGTCGTGCAATGCTAACCACTTTTCCCTCATACGCTTTGTCGTACACCGCAAACGTGTGCGTCGTCCTCCTCCTTTTGCCCAATTTTTCCAACAATCACCCCTTGCTGCACGTGTGCATTTGCATCGTAAAGGTTTTGAGCAGAAAAGCAGCAGATTTGCAAGAATGAGTCATAAAGCAGCCAGGAGCCAAAAGATGCTTTTGATCATGGGGGGGGAGGGGCGGGTACACTTTATATAAAAAAAAAAAAAAAAACCTCATCTGTTGTCCTCATCTTGACATTATTTTGACAACTTTCAAAGCTGAGAATGTCATTTCATGGATGTGCGGATGCACCGCCGAGACGTTTAAAAACAGCCCTGTGAGCAAACGCAATTGTCATGGGCACAAATTCTTCCAGCAAAGGAACAAAACAGAATAATCCGACCCTGACGCGAACTCAATTAAAAAGCGTGATATGAACATCAAAACAGTTTATAATAGCACGTGGCGCCAAAGTTGTGGCCTCGTGCACGTTGTCACCGTACAGTAGGTCACTTCCCTGCTTGCTTTTTTCCGCAATAATTGACTCAACACCTCCCCGAAGCCTTTGACATTGTTTTCTGAAAAGTGGAATGAATGTCTTTATGGTAATCCGGGAATCAAAAACTAATGTCGTTTGACTCTTAAGTGTCTCTTTGATACCTGCGCTTTGTCATAATAACGCATGTAAAGATCTTGACGCAATGCCGGCTAGTCTGGTTATGTGAAAATCTCCGGCCAAGATCAGAAATGTCCACTTCCAAGGCAGCCGCTCTTTTTTTTAAATGTGGAATCGCTGAAGCACAAAATGATGATTGTATCACACACACGTCATGCAACGATGCTCATTGAGAAACACAGTGGAAGCACAAAAATAGATTGATATGAATCATACCCATTCCTCAGTGTGGGACAAATAAAGGTTATCTTATCTTATCTTATACATGGTGCGTGGCGGATCTACGAAGGGAGAGCTGCGCTGCCGTGGCAGTGGACACAGCTGACTTTAATCATGACTCGTTCACATGTGGCACACTAGTCATGC